TCCAAGCTTTAAAAGCCATTGAGAAAATTCCTCTTCTTCTATCTGAACCCTCATATTTACAGTTAATGAGAACCTTTGCACATATTGCCAATGTTCAGAACATTTTAAACATGATTCTATAACTTCTGCTGGTCAACCTTGCTTCACAACTGGAAGTATTTGTCTGAAGTCTCCACCCATAAGAATAACCTTACCACCAAAAGGAAAGTTGTTATTACAAATATCTTGTAATAGCTTATCAATGGCACTCAAAGTATATTTGGGTATCATAGATGCTTCATCAAGTAAATACAAACTGATTTGTTTCAGGAATCTACCATGAATCGAGTTTGGAGTTACATTACATGTGCTAGTTTCCAAAATTGGAACAGGAAGTTTGAATAAGCCATGCATTGTGCACCCATTTTTGAGAAGAGTTGCAGCTATTCCTGTCCATGCAGCTGTTGCAGTTCTAATATGCCTGCTCTGTGTTTCAGAAATTAAATAATTGTAAGTAAATGTTTTACCACAACCGGCAGGCCCATCCATAAAAAACAACCTTGAATGCTTATTTTCATTAGTAGGTTCCACACTTAGTGCAGCAAGGATCGCATCAGCTACATTACGTTGATTATCATTCAATAATGGTCTAACTCGGTTTGCTTCATCAGTAAACACCTGAACATCTTCATCATCATTTTCTGGGACATTATCTAAAAACTGATCTAAAGCTGGCAAATTATAATCAGCTAAGGTTTTACCACTCTGATTAATTATAGATTCAATTTGACAAAGAGCTGCCTGCTCAGCAAGTACGACTGGCATTGAATGGTGTATGTAATCCTCAACCATATAACTTTTAAATGTATTCCAAAGGTGTAAAGGATCATCAGGTTCACATAAAGTTAATATGATGGAAAACAGTAGCCTAATTTGTTTAGGCATCCGAGTTGCAGCAGCTTCAGTTAATGTATTTCTCCACTCAATGTCATCTTGCAATAAACCTAAATGATAACATGCTTCACGAAATGTATTAAAAACAGTACCATGAACAGTACGCAAATCCTCAAAAGACTTTGCACCTTTTACATGCAAAAGTAACAATCTGAGAAAAAATAATTCGCAAAATGAACTGACTTTATACATTCGAACAACCACCTTATCACTACCTCTTTGTCTTACTTTCCACATGCAATTTTTACCAAAAACAAAGTGATATGGAATTTCAATATAAGAATACTGACGTGCTTCATTATTTTCAGCATTTAACTTAAACCAAGCGGTTAGGTGAGTGTCACGCTGTGCTGCACAATCTGTAGCTACTTGTTCTTCTCCTTCGTTAAAATATACTCTGGTTATTACTTTATTTTATTTGAATTACTTGATTTTAATTAAAAACGGCTAAATTAAATCATCGTTTTATTCACACCGTAAATCAAGTACAGCTCCGCCACTTTTAGAACATATGTAACTGCTACTATATATAGTATATATATATGGCTTACTTCGAAAAAATGCAGAAACTTCTTCGTCGCCTAAAGATATACAAAATTATCTTAATGTAATTTCTTAATAAAATAATAAACTAAATATCTCAGTATTATTGACGTATCATCTCTTTTTATCTCTTTAATTAATTAATGTTATACAAAATTAAAAGAATACCTTCTGTATCCTGGCTGCTCATTTCTAAAAAATAATCTTAATGTTTATTCTTGGGTCAAAAACATATTAACTTCAAACATATTAACATGGTAATTATAAAATAAGTTTAATTTCTTAAATGAAGATTTCAATAATTAAACTTGTAGATACAACTTACTTGTCGTCCCTCGCTTTGCAATTGTTATAATCGATATGAAGACCACATGGCCGACTTTTATTGGTTTTAGAGTACAGTTGGCGCACATATCATAATACAAAAATCAGATGGTTTTGAATCTATTAATTAAGCTGTTTTTATTAACGGATTTGGTGGATTTAATTAGATAACCGCAAGGTAGTTTTACAGTGGTTTAAGAGTTGGCGTACGTTTCGTAATACAAAAATCATTTAATATTTGTTTATATCTTAATATTCGAGCATTTCTATTAGCGGATTAGGCGAAATTTTGTGGGTTTTCTGTTTGTCACCTTCTGGAGTAACTAAATTTTTTTTTTTAGGTTTCAGATTACAATTTTTTTTTTCATACCTTTCCGTACTTTTTAGGACTCTTGACCAGTTAGTTTTAATAAAAATTTCAGATTGCATGTAAAACCTTTTTTTTATATATATAAGAAAGAAATTTATCTCTTTAATGTGTGTTGAACTCGCAGTTTTAACTAATTACCTATAACATAAGTATCTCTATCATGATATATGCGCAACAAATTTCCAGCAGCGTTTTTATGTTTTTAAAAATTTTTAAAAACGTTTAAAAAAATTCTCTCCGTTTGGTTTCTTATAGTATATTATATCTTTATTTTTATGTAATGCGTATAACATCTATATGCATTTAAACTTGTTTTTCTTTGTTTTCTAGAAAACTGGATAGGATTTAAAAAAAAAAATTGTGTAAGCAAAAGGTTTTGAACCGAAGCGAAGCACTTCAATCGCTGTGGAATGCTATATCATCTTTTTACACTATTTAATAAACAGAAAACTTATTAAACTTTAAAAAACAACATTCAATGCTTTAAAATAAAGAGATATTGTCGCAATATAATTATTAAGTAAAAATAAACCGGTAGAATTTGATGTCATCTACTTTATAATTATACTGATTGATAATTAAAGAACTTAAAGTTTACATATTTAGATATTTGAATAGACTTTCGTTCACATTGATAAAATACAAATCATAACGGATTGTGGTTCCGAAAAAAATGGTTAATACACTACCATCTATAATTATTGGAAAGGTCATATTTTTTAATATCAAAGATATCAAAGTTTGGCGAAAAAGTGAAAACAATGTCTACCTGAATTATATGTTATCTTCCTATTTATTAGGTTTACCAATAAAACTTCCCTGATTAGTTTATAATTTATTTAAAGCCCTGATTAGCTTTTAATTTATTTGCCTATTAATCAGCCTTAACAACAATAACCGCCATTAATATATTGTTAGCATTCTATTTAAGGACTTATCTAATTAGTCTATTTTGTCACTAAGTATAAAAAAAAAATACCCATGTATTAACTGAATATCAATTTGTTTATCTATTTAATTTAATATATATAATATATAATTTAATATATATAATTCAATCTAATTAATATAATTGAAATACTACTAATCAATTTACTGATATTTTTTCTATAGCATTTTTAAAAATGGTCATATTCTGAAAGGTAAAGAAATTTATTGAAAAGAAAGTTGCACAAAAGAAAAAAAAAACTAAATAAAAGTTATTCGTTTCAAAAAACGTTTTACGAAGAGTTTTTCCAAACAATTTTATTTTTAATTGGGTTTTTTTTGAATTACGTCATAAGCATATTAAGGCGTTTTGAAAAACAGTTGCTGCATATATTTATAGTAAAAAAGTTAATGTAGCAAAATAAACTTTTAATTGTCAAAAGAAAGTTTTAAAGTTTTATCTAGCTACAGACTTTTTTTTTTTTTGCCTCCACAGCAGCGTCTTATGAAGTAGCAGGGCAGTCTTGTTAAGTTTTTTCTTTATTAAGTTTCAGACAACTTTTTTTTCAGACCATCCGCAGCTTATTAGGACTAATTACATTCGCACATTAATAACATAAGTGTCTCAATTATCATAGATACGCAACATATTTTTTCTCCTGGTGATGTTTTTTTTTTTTTTTTTTTTAATGTTTTATGAAGTTTTAGCATTCTTAAAATCTTTTCTTTTGTGAGTGCATAATATCGTTAAGTTACATATGTTTGTATATAATCTTTATAAAACTTCGAAAGTGTTTTGTATTTTAAAATAATTAAAAAAATTAAAAAAAATAGCCGCTTTTGGTAAGAGTCGAACCTCTAGTTCCTTGTTCAGAAGTTCGCCGCCTTATCCACTCTAGCTACACCAGCATATCATCAAGTGTAGATTTTATAATAATGTAGTAATTTTTTTGAGGAAAAAAATGTTAGATCAAAATTAAGGAGAGGTTGACGCAATGTAATTTTCAAGTAAAAATCAAACTGTAAAACGTGATAAATGTTTCAGTATGTTTAAACATATGCTTTAACATTACATAAGTTAAAGTTTACGTACGTTAGATGTTCGTTCACGTTTTTTTATAGCGCTGCGACTCTTTCTTGCCAATACCTCGGTTGCAATGGCTGCCAAGGGTTTCGTGTCAAATACGCTCCAAGGGACACTACTATTAAAACTATTAAGTTCGGCAGTATTATATAGAAGATATATATATATATATATATATATATATATATATATATATATATATATATATATATATATATATATATATATATATATATTGTAATTGTCTCTCATTGGTCCAATTAATCTTTGTCGCTTTTTTTTTTTTGTTTTTTAAAATGTTCTCAAAACGACTAAAAAATCTGGCCAGCTTTTCGCAACTAAATATTATTTACGTGATCAGCAATCGAGAGCGATTGCTCCCGCTTCCCGACCAAGCTTGTATATATATATACATATACATATGGGCAGGATTAAAAAGTCTTTTTTTTTCAAAAGAAATGACCTTTATAAACTAAATTGGAAATTCAAAAAATTCAAAACCTTTAGAAGGGGGCAATAATACCTTACATGCTACCTATAAAGACTTATTTAATTTCAGGTAAAGATATTGCATGTGGAATAATAACTTTTTTGTTATAGCCATCAAAACTTGTGTTACGGAAGGAACCTATCGTTCTTTTCCTGACACAAGTTTTTAATGCCTATAACTAAAAATTTAAAATTCTACTTACAATGTCTTTTCTCAAAATTAAATAGATATTTATAGTTAGTTTGTTAGGTATTTTTACCCCCTTCTAACCTTTTTTAATTTTTTTTTAATTTCCAATTTAGTTTATTAAGGCGATTCTTTTTTTTTGTATCTCAAATCGAGCTGGTTTTGATTCGAAAACCAAATCAAGAATCAAATCAGCAATTTAAGGTATATGAGTTAAAATATTTCTTTATATTATATATTTCATAAGAAAAAAAATAATAGTAAAAATTCTTTTTTGGTGCTTCATGTAGTAATTAACCTTTTAAACAATTGGTAACAATTTGTAACAATTGGTAACAATTTTTAACAATTAGTAACAATTTTTAAGAATTGGTAACAATTTTTAACGATTGGTAACAATTTTTAACAATTGGTAACAATTTTTTTTAACAATTAGTAACAATTTTTAACAATTGGTAACAATTTTTAACAATTGGTAACAATTTTTAACAATTGGTAAGAATAAAGAAAGTATTTTTTAAAAGCGCAAAATTGCCCAATTATTCAAAAATACTACAACAAAAAGAAAATAAATAAATATTTAATAACTTGAATCTTTTTTTTTGAAACTCATATCACTTTTCCGATTCAAATCGAAATTTTGAAAATCACATGGACCTAATGTGGGTATTTATGTATGTATGTACGTTAATATATATATATATATATATATATATATATATATATATATATATATATATATATATATATATATATATATATATATATATATATATATATATATATATATATATATATATATATATATATATATATATATATATATATATATATATATATATATACGAATTTTAAGAACTTTTTTTGAAGATCACCTTGCGCTATCCATTTCAATTTTTTTGTTACTTCCTTTTTGCTACTACTCCCTTTACCTTAAAAAAAAGTTGCTACCACTAGTAAAACAAGTTCACTTTTTTTTCATTAACATTAGTTATAATTCATAAAATGTTTTGCAATAGCCTACAAATTAGTAGTCAAAATACCTTAATCACATAGGTAATTATTATGAATAATAATTAAAACTTAGTGAAGTACTAATCACTTAAGATATTACAATGTTTAGTAAAAATAATTTTAAGGCTAAACATTAACGGAGTTAATAAGTGTATACTTTAGTCAACAAATAATAATTAAAACTTAGTGAAGTACTTGTTTTACTCAACATCAAATTAAAAATAAAGAAATTATAATAAAATATAATTAAGGTTGAATAAATATATAGAATAAAGGGAAATAAAGGTGGGGGATGATGACAATGATGATGAGATCATATAAAATATAGCATAAAAAATACATATATATAATGAATTGTATTTAAATACATAAAAAACACAAATTTAAATAAAATTTTAGGATGCATAACCATTTAAGCAGCTCTGGTCATAGATCAGCAAATTAAATCAGTGAATTCTTGTGTGATATTATGCTGAGAAGATCAAAATGCTAAAATCACCCTCTAGTTCATCTATTACAATTTCTTATCACTTTTATCTGAATTGTTATCAGATAAAGCTTCAAATTCACTAATTTCATTATCAATTTGATAAGAAATATTGAGGTTATTATCCAGAGCAGTGGCTCTGGATAATAACCTCAATATTTCTTATCAAAAGTTCGAGGGTTCATTATCTGAAGTGCTCAACCCATGTTTTTTGCAATTGCTTTGAACAACTTTTTTGGGCAAAGCGTCAATAGGCTGAGGAAAATAAAACCCAGTTTTACCTATGTAATCATAGTTATAGGCTAGATCAATAACAATTTCCCCTTGATTGATTTCGGACAAATAAATAAATAAAAGTAAAAATAAAATAATTTTAACTTCTTCTCGAATTTTTCTTCTTTCAGACCAGTAGGTTTTAACTAAAACCAAGATTACTAAATATACAGGATGTGATATAATGAAAATTATGTACTTGAATAAAAACATAAATATATTTCTTCTCCGCAAAATTTGCATCTACATTAACAACATTTTGCGTACAGTCATTACGGGTAACTTTGAACGGTTTGCTTTAGGTTTATCTCTACAAAAATTGTTTTACTAACTAGATAACAAATATTTTTACATAAAGGGTGTTCTGATGATCTCTTTTTTCTAGTTTGTTATCATTTTTTTAAATTTGCTAGATATTATGTAAAAAAACAATGTTCAAGTAGGCGTTCAAAGTTACCCTCACATTTCGGGTAACTTTGAACACTATTAAACTGAATGTCAATTTTTAATCTTCTAAATCTAAAAAGTTGTTTAAATTTCTTTGTATTAGTTTAAATTAATTTTTTAAAAAATCTAGTTAAACTATTTCGAGAATAAACAAACAAGTTTTTCAATAAAATATTTCGAGAATAAACAAACAAGTTTTTCAATAAAATATTCACAAAATAATTTTTAAGGTTATAAAAAAAAAAATAATTAAGACATTATTTTTATATAATTCTCCACAAATAAACACCATTGACAATAAAACTAAATATTACAGTGTTTCATTCTTTTAGTCTTGAGTTACAACTAACTCTTTTACAAAATAATCATGATCAAGGAAAACATGTACATAGTGATTGTTTATTTGCTCCAATGAAAAAACTGCATCATTTTGAGATACAGGTAAAACTTGTTCATTGTCTTCAATAACTTGATTAACATTTACGATGCTTGAAATTTGTAAAATATTAAGTTTTTTGTTTATTTTCATAACCATAATATTTGATCCAAGTGGTCTTCCTCTTTTCTTTGCTCGAATATTATCTTGACTTTTTTTTTTATTGTCTCTTTCCTTATAGTATGCTTCTACCTCAGTGGCTGATACACTTTTCCCTGCTGTTATTGGTAACTTAAATTTTTTGCTTACTTCATAATTAAGATGAATATCATCAACATAATTCCTAAACGATTCTCCAATATTGAGTTGAATATCTATATTTGTAAAACTGGGTAATTTGGAGAGAACATGTTCTGGTAGAAATGGATATATGCCAGTAGCCTTAAATCCTGCTTGGAGATTATGTTCTAGATTTTCTTTACCAACATTAAGAGTAGATTTAATGAGCTGCGTAAACAAATTTTTTGGCAGGTTATTAACCTTTTTTCCTCTGGATGTTTTACGCCATTGATTAAGAACTGACCTCCAATTAGCTTTTAAACTCGAGAAATATCCAACATCTAAAGGTTGTAAAAGGTGTGTGGAATTGGGTGCCAAACATATAAATGTTATATTATACTTTTTACATATATTTAAGGCTTTTAAAGATATATGAGCACTTAAATTATCGCAAATCAGGATTCTTTTACCTTCCTTATTTATAATATTTGGAACAAAGTGATTTAACAGCCGCTCTTCAAATATTTGAATTTCCATCCAGCCACTGCAAGAAGTTGCCATTCTTGATCCTTCTGGTGCATTGAAAAGCCAGTCAGACCAACTGTGTTTTCCTTTAAGAATGAAGAATGGTGGAATTAGTTTTCCTGAGGCATTTCCACAAAAAACAACAGTGTAACAAGTTTTTGTTGTGTTTCTTATAAGTTCTGGATGGCGAGAGGATCGATGAAAAATAAGTTTTTTTTTTCCAGGGTCATCATGAAACCCTGTTTCATCCATATTGTAAATGTTATCTGGCGTTACTCCATTTAATTCCTTCTCTAGTTTTTTTTTTAAAAAAAAAATTTATTTGACAATAATTAATCTGTGCACGTTTCCTTGAAATACAATGAGATACTTTTTTTTTTAATGATGGATGCCTGTCAAGATAAAGTTTACACCACTCCCAACCTGGTCGGTTATCTTTAAACTGTTGTATATTTGTTCCACTATCATCCAGATAGATTTTGACAATACTTTTAAAATCATTAATTCCAATTGGTATACCTTTGTCACTTAAATAAAGTAAGTGATTTTCAAAACAAAGTTCCTCATCAATGCTAAGAGCAGTAGGGCGTCCTACTGATTTACAGTGTTTACTTTTTAGCTTATAAAATAATGTTGCTTTAGGTACTTTATAAATTTTAGAAGCTTCACCAATCGACATTTTTTCTAATTTAATTTTGGATAAAGCCTCTTGAAGTGTAGAATTTGTGTAATTAGATTTAGTGACATATTTTCTTGGGTCAGGATGAGTTGTCGAACATTTTCTTGGCATTTTATGAATGCTAAAAATATAAAGATGATTTATGTTATTAATGAAAATTATTTAACTAATCGCATATTTGCTATTAATAAAATATATTATTAAATCTATCAAGATAGCCATAAATATCAAAAATTAATATATTAGTCATAGATATTATAATTTTTAATATTTATAATATCATATATCATTATATAATAAAAATACTATAATAAAAAGATGCCTATTATTTATTATGTATTATTGCAATGTTACTCAGACAGCAAAAATAACATTTTTGGAAAATATTGATTGTCTAAAGTTACCCTGAATTTGGTTATATTTTAGCTAAGTGGAAATAAATATCCTTTTTGTAGCAAAAAATATGTTAAATCCTATTATTTTGAGTTTGTATTAAAGTTCGAAAAATAATTTAATAAAATACTTAAAAATCTATTCAGATAATTACAATATAATACCAAATATTCTAAATTGAAAACACACGATGTTATCACCACATTCGACTGTGTAACTGGAAATGGAGGAAAACATTATTTTTGAGAAATAAAATTTAATTTTCTTTGGTCAAACTTTTGTAAAAAAAGATAATTCATCATATTATTCTTTGTTAAAGCAACAGGCAAAGAAAATACCCAAAAAAAAAAAAATTAAAAACATTTACACGTTTAGTTCAATGTTACCCGCAAATTCAAAGTTACCCAGAATGACTGTAATGCATTTTTGTACCTTTGGCGAGCCATTAATGATACACTTATGGTCCGGCAATGGCTAGCCAGTTCTGGTTCGCCGGCTAAAGCCCTTAACTGGATCACATGTGTTTTACCGGACTTGGCTCGCCAGCTCTGGCCCATTAATGTACTGCTGGTTGGGATCATTGGTTTGAGCCGTTAGTTCTGCCGTTAGTTCTGCCGTTATTATATCGCGCAAAAAAGTCTTGGAGCCAATTTAGAAGGGTAAGTATCTATTTACTAGGTTGCGAATTAGTGATAGAATATCTTGAATCCACATTAAAAGAGACATAAATATAATAAAAATTTTTTGAATCTTTAATTATGTATTAAAGTTATGCATAAATGTCTTATTTAAATTGAAAGGATTTTATGGTTTAGAACACAGATTTTTATTTTACAATTAAATATTCCAATATAAAGATTAAAAAAATCAACAAAGACAGTTTTTAAGTAATGATCAATGTACGTTAAGTAGGATAAGTTGTTGTACTTAAATAAAACAACTTTTATACTCAACTAACCAGCTTCATTAAATGCAATATTATCAGTTATATACCCATGAGCTGTTTATACCATAAAATAACAGTTGATTGCCTTAGCAGTTACCATTTGAACCTTTCATTGAGTATTATATTTTTGCTTTTTAATAATGACAAACCTTTCTTTTAAACTTTTTTTAATATAAGAAAGTGCTACTTATGATTTTGTAGTATTGTATAGTTAATAGAAAATGGACATTTTAATTCTAAGCTGATGGGCAACACAACTATCGGACAATTATATAAGAGCTTCACCTACATAGGACATTTTAACATGTGAAAATAATCCACATTCATTTATAGTTAAATTTTAATAAAAAGATTTCATAATTTCAAAAAACTGATTTATTGCTTCAATTTCTGTTACTCTCCCATACTTTAAAGCAGGTACATCTGGGTTCACAAAAGGTAGCGCTGAAATACTTTGATGTAATAAACACTAGTCAATTTTAATGCCCTTATTAAATTTTTTTATTTTTTTTGAACATTATGAGTATTTAAAGCAGTTTAAGCTCATTTGTGTTTTGATCCATACTCATAAGCTCTATATCAGTAACTATTGTTTTAGTCGTATTTATTTATATGTTTTTACTAAAGGAAAATTAATTGTTTGACATAACATACATGGACAAAATTTTAGGTTTGGTAACAGTTGCAGACACAATAAATTATTTTGTATAATAAATGTCAGGTTAACGTATAACAGAAGTTATAATGCTTTGAGGAGCAACAGTTTCAATTGCTTTGATATGTCTGTTAAATTTAAAGTCACAGTTTGATAATGGGTTCTAATTACGCTTTACATTTGACAATAGTAAAAGCTTTTTTCTTTCACGCATACAAAACTTATCTCAACCATATAGAGAGCACCCGTGGCGCAGTGGTTAGAGTTCTGGCTCAGAACCCAGAGGTCCGAGATTCGATGCCAGCTCCAGCCTTACAAGCGACATTGGTACGGAATGAGGCGTGAACTTCCTGTCAAATGCTCTCCCGCGGTGTTCTGCGATAAGATCGTGAGGACTTCTGGGAGCACCTAAATAACTACAAAAAAAAAAAAAAAAAAAATTTTAAGTCGCATATTTTTGTTGGCACACTACGGTTGGGAAGTCACTCTGATTTTGAACTAGTTAAAACTGCATTTGATAGACCACCTAAACAAGTACAATTTTCTGAAATTATTTTAGCAGTTTTTTTTTTTATATATATTTATATTTTTTTTATGGTTCTTTATTACAATATTTAATACAATATTTACAAATACGTCTCGCATCTTACTCGCATCTATACAATCACTGAATCTTGTTGTTACTCAAATGTATCTTACAATTACACTAATCTTAATTATTGATTAATTAATTAATAAACGAAAATATTAAGAATATGATTGCACTAGTTACATCCAAATGTACTTCAAGGTTGTCCAAAAGATTGTGTAGAAGAATTTAGAAAGCCAAATGATGGTGTCACTGTGGGTAAAGCCAAAATTATCAAATGTTGGTGCGTTTACGTTTACGCTTCCACCGACAAAAATGCTAAACCACTGTCATAGGATGATTAACTTCGAGAAGTATCTTACATACAATATTTGCAGATACATCCATTCACATACATCAATTTTTAATTTTTTTTTATTTTAATAATATATATATATTTTTTTTATTACAAAATTAAATTCAATATCAAAAGTATATACCGTTCGTAAGACAAATTATTTACAAATATTTGACTGTTGTAGGGAACTCGTAGAAGACTGAGTTTAGTCTTATCATCAAGAACCTTGGGGTGTTGCGTAAAGTACACATATAAAAATTATGATTCAAATAATGCCAGTGCAACTATTAACAAAATTCAAATAATGGTGTTTAAATGTAGTGTCTCAAAAAAATTTTAAATCAATATTGTATAAAAGCAAAATATAAATGAGTGATGACAAAACTGGGTATAATTAAAAGTATACAAATATATTTTCAATTGAGAAAATTACTTTTTTTAGTTTTCTTTTGAACATATAACAATTCCATTCATGAGAAAAATCAAAATTTTTTAAAATTATTTGGTTCCATAAAAAACGCTCCACAAAAAGAAATGCAAAATTTACCAAAGTTTGTTTTAAATTTTGATTGTTTAATAAAATTATCATTTCTTAAAAAATATTTATTTTTTTCTTTTTAAGAATATAAATCAAAAAAAGAAGCTGGGGATGAGTTGGTCTAACATTAAATATTATCTAAAACTAAATATTATGGTTTAAACAATAAAATTTTAAAATGGTTTGAAAGCTATTTAACAAATCGAAAGCAACTTGTGTATAGTAATGATGGTTATCAAAGTGAACCCCTGAGCATAACTTGTGGTGTTCCACAAGGCTCTATTCTCGGACCACTACTATTTTTAATCTATGTAAACGATTTAAACAAAGCTTCCAAATTGAAAAGTATAATGTTCGCTGATGATACTAATCTTTTCTTATCCCATACTGATATTTATGAACTCTTTTCAACTACAAACAAAGAACTCAAACACATTTCGAACTGGTTCAAAGCTAATAAATTAACTTTAAATATTAACAAAACAAAATGGATTATTTTTCACTCCTGCGCAAAAAAACGATTTTTAACAAATAATATGCCTCAAATTTACATTGATGAAACTATAATAAAAAGAGATACTGTTATAAAATTCTTAGGTGTTTATCTTGATGAAAATATTACTTGGAGAAAGCATATTGATCATATAAGCACCAAAGTTTCTAAAAATATTGGCATTTTATACAAAGCTCGAAATTTTCTAAACAAAAAAAACTTAACCCAGCTCTATTATTCATTTATACATAATTATATAAATTATGCAATCATAGCCTGGGGAAGTACGGAGAAAAGTAAATTACAACATCTTTATCGCCGTCAGAAACATGCAATCCGTGTAGTTAATTATGCGGATCGCTTTTCACGTTCGAAATATTTTTTTGATTATATGAATGTACTAGATGTTTATAAACTTAACATATTTAATGTTTTATGTTTTACTTTTATGTGGAAAAACGATTTATCTTTATTTGTTTTCAATGACCTTTTTTCTTTAAAACCAATAAATAAATACACATTAAGAAGTAATAGTTTTCTAAATGAACCATTTTGTAAAACGAAGTTCAACCAATTCTGTATTGCATATCGTGCACCCCATCTTTGGAATAAAATAGTATTACCAAATTTTGACCCTTCTACTACTCTTCCTGTTTTTAAA